ATTCAGCATGTCTCTATCGAAATAAACCTACATTTCTAAGAAAATTGAAGCTTTTATTTTTTGTGGTCCACATAAACTTAAACCTTGTTTATTTGGCCAGTGTTAGCCTTTGAGTTTGACATGCTTGCTGTACATGATTATAGACTTTATAAATACTGCACACTTAAGCTACAGTACATTTATAAAAAATGTTTTCTTTCTTCAGTAATAAATAATATTAACTGAAGGGATTAAGCAAAACAAACAACCAAACAAAAAACCTGATAGAAACATTATAGCGATTACCAGAGGAAAGGGGATGGGGAGGAAGTAGAAGAGGACATAGGGGAGATAAATGGTGATGGAAAGAGACTTGACTTGGGGTGGTGAGCACACAGTACAATATACAGATGTATTATAGAATTGTACACCTGAAACCTATATAATTTTATTAACCAATGTCACCCCGATAAATTCAATAAAGTTATTATTAAGCTAAAAAGCATAATCTTAGCTTACTGTGACTTTTTACTTTATAAACTTTTAACTTTTTAAAAATTTATTTTAGAGAGAGGAAGAGAGAGAGAGAGGAAACATTGACGTGAGAGAGAAACATTGATCAACTGTACATGCCTTCTGTACATGCCTTGATCAGGGATTGAAACCCGAACCCAAAACCTGGGTATGTGCCCTGACCAGGAATTGAACCTGCCACTTTTTGGCCTATGAAAGGACACTCCAACCAACTGAGCCACACCAGGTAGGGCAACTTTTAACTTTTAAAAAAACTTTCTAGCCCTGGGCAGTGTTATTAAGTGGTTAGAGTGTCAGTCCTGCCCACTGAAGGGTCTCGGGTTTGATTCCCAGTCAAGGGTATGTTATGTGGGTTACAGGTTTGATCTCCAGCCTGGGCCACGTGCTGGAGGCAACCTGGAAAAAATATTCTGGAGTGAGGATTAACAAAACAAGCAAACAAAAATAAATAATAATAGTAAAAAACCTTCCTACTCTTTTGTATTAATACTTAGCTTGAAACAAAACACACCCTAGCTGGTTTGGCTCAGTGGATAGTGGACTGAAGGGTCTCAGGTTCAATTCTGGTCAAGGGCAGGCTTGATCCCTGTCACGTGGTGGGTCTCAGGTTCAATTCTGGTCAAGGGCATGTACCTCCAGTGCAGGCTTGATCCCTGTCACATGGTTGTTTCTTTCTCTCTCCCCCTCTCTCCCTTCCACTCTCTCTAAAAATTAATGGAAAAATATCCTCAGGTGAGGATTAACACAGAAAACAAACAAACAAACACAAAACACAAAACACAAACACCTTGTACACCTTATCAAGTATTATGCATTGTGGATTGTGCTAAGATCTTATGTGGCTTCATCACTAGGCAATAGAAAATTTTCAGCCTCCTTATAATCTTATGATACCACTGTCTTATATGCTGCCCATCATTGACTAAAACGTCATTAGGCAGTGTGTGTGTGTGTGTGTGTGTGTGTGTGTGTGTGTGTGTGTATTTTTTTTAAAGACAATGAAGTCATTGAAAAAACAAATGGTGATATTCAACTCAATTAAGAGAATTAGTTACCTATAAGTAATTTAAAACCATTTGATGTTTACTGCTTTAGTCTGAATTCAGAACAAAAAAATAGTTGACATTATTCAGCAGTGAAATTCTTGTTTATATGACATTAAATAGCAATTGAATTAATCCCTAAGGGAATACTATACAGCCTTAGATCAACTTTTAGGGAAAGTTGAAAGTAAGAGGTTAAAAATAATTTTTGAAAGGAAGGGTTATACCAAAAGGAAGTAGAGAATTAGAGTCTAGAAAGTATTATTGGAATTCACACGAAAGAGGTTTTTTGGTGACATCCAGAGGTCAGTTTTGGTAGTGTGGTGTGGATGGAAGCAAAATTTCAGGTTTTAAGGAATGACTCAGTAGTAAAGAAATGGTGGCTTCTAGAGAACATTCATTCTAAATGTGTGGCAGGGAAAGGAAGGGTAGTAACAATGGAGGAAGGAGCAGTAAGTACAAGTGGGGATCTTTGCAAAAAGTGGGAAACTTTTGCATAATTGAAAGCAGAGAAAGAAGACTATGCTAGAAAAGATGCCCAGCTGGCAAGGCTCAATGGTTGAGCGTCAACCTATGAACCAAGAAGTCACGGTTCAATTCCCGGTTAGGGCACATGCTTGGGTTGTGGGCTTGATCCCTAGTAGGGTGCATGCAGGAGGCAGCCGATCAATGATTCTCTCTCATTATTGATGTTTCTATCTCTCCCTCTCCCTTCCTCTCTGAAACCAATAAAAAAAATTTTTTTTTTTAAAGAAAAGAATGAGAAAGAATAGGATTAAGAGGCTGGGCAGAAAAGGAAAAAAATTAATAAATTAGACTTTGCAAAATAAAAATATTCTGTTCTTTGACAGACACTTCAAGAAAATGAGAAAACAAGCCACACACTGGGAAGAAACATTTGCAAGACACATCTCTGATAAAGTATTGGTAACCCCAATATGTAAAAGACTCTAAGAAAACAAGCAATCCAATAAAGAAAAAAATGGGCAAAAGATGTGAACATTTTATAAAAGAAGATATACAGATGGCAAGTAAGTACTTGAAAAGATGTTACATGATTGGTCATTAGGAAAATACAAATTAAATTAACAATGAGATATCACTGCACACCTAGTAGAATGGCTCAAATGAAAAACAGTAACAACTGATCCTGTCAAATGCTGGTAATGATGGAAAACAACTGGAAATTGAATTCATTGCTGGTGGGAATGCAAAATGGTCCAGCCACTTTGGGGAACACTTGGCAGTTCCTATGAAATTAAACATGCATTTACTATGACCCAACAATCCCATTCTTATTTAAGAGAAATGAAGACTTACCCAGACAAAAAACCTCTATGGGAATTTTGTAGCAGCTTTGTCCACATTTTTTAAAAGTTAGAAATGTGCCAAGTGTCTATCAACTGGTGAAACAAATTATGGCATACCTATATAATGGAATACTGTTCCTCATACAAAGGAACAACTACTGATACATGCAACACCATAAATGACTCAAGAGCATTATGCTCTGTGAAGGAAGCCAGGTTCAAAAGACAACATACTATATGATTCATTTATATGACATTTGGAAAAGGGAAAACTATAGGGACAGAAATCCAATCAGCACTTGCTGGATGGCTGAGGGAAGGGGAGGTACAAAGAGGTAGGAAGGCTTTTTTTAATTTTTATTTTTTGTAATAGAAATACTATGTATCTTAGTTTTTGCAATGGTTAAAATTTTTGCAATGACAAACTGTATAAGTTTGTCAAAATTCACAGAACTTTACACCTTAAAAGAGTGAATTTTACTGTATGTAAATTATACCTCAATCAACTTCTTAAAAATTCTTAAAGTATTGGGTAGAGAATATTTCCTTGGCAAAAGTAGGAATATTTGATCACCCATGTTCTTTGTTGCTTTAAAGAATTTGCATACATGTTTCCTCTAATCAAGGAGCCTCTTTCCTCCCCTACCCCCCCACCCAACCCCCTACTAGCTCCTTATTCTCCTTTGGGTTTAGTAAAGCATTACTTTCCCCAGAAAACTTTACCGGACCCCATAAACTTGGAACGTGCTCTTGCTATGTGCTCTTAATGACACTCTTATTTAGTCCATATGGAGGGTTACATCATACTCGATTGCAACTGCTTATTTAATTTTCCTTTTCTCTCTCTATTCTGTAAGCTCCACAAGGGCAGGAATAGCAGGAATAGCATCCATCTTAGCTAACTATTGCAAAGATATTTGCATTTAGCACAGAGCCAGGAATAATATTTGTTGAATGAATGGGGAGAAAGCAGAAGGTTCAGAATGGCTCAATGAAAAATTGAATATTAAATTGATAAGGAATGAAAAATATGTAAGTTATTTCCACAACTACATCTCTAATCCTGACTCTAACCCATGTTTCACCACCAATTCTGATTTTCTCTCATATCTTCATATGGATGTACCACCGTTACTTTAGCCTTAATATTACTAAGCAGAAGTAAATTTTCCTCCTCAATTTTATTCAAATTGAATTCTTTTCCCAATTATTCTATTTGTCAAGTGTTATCGCTATACTTACAGTTTTCCAAAGGAGAGACCTTAGAATTACATTTAACTTTTCCTTCTATTTGCTCTCTCATCTAGTTTGATATAAAAATTTGTAAATCCTTCTTTTAAAATGTTTCTTTTTGCTTTTCCATTCCTACTGATGTTCTTATAGAGCCAAATCTGGCCAGAGAGGCAGGCACTAAATAAGGAAACACATTCTAATATGTAATTAATTATGACTTGTGATAAGTACATGAAGGAAATAAACAGAGTGCTGGTACAGAAAATTATGGGATGGAGAGGACCTAATCGACATAGGGTGGTAAGAGAAAACTTCTTTGAGAATATTCTATTTAAGCTGAGAGGAGTGAGAGAGAGCTAGCAGCAACAGGAAGAATAGAAGACCATACTAACAGAAGGAAAAGTATGTGGCTAGGATTTGAGGTGGGAAAGAAATTGGTGTCCAATCATAGCCTGTTCCAGGAACTGAAAGATGATTGTAGCTGGAGGGCAGTGAGCAATGGGGAAGAGTGACAAAGAGGAGATTGGAGAAGCAGGCAGGGACCAGGTCATGGTAAGTGTTATACACTATGGCAAAGGGTTTAGATATTATTTTGCGTAAGGTGAAGCTACTGAAGGATTTTAATCTAGGGAATAACATTATGTGAGAAGTTTAAACTAAAATACTAGATTACAACAATGAGCAAGATAGGAGGGAGGGTGATTGGAAGTAAAGCCTTCTAAGGCCCTTGATTATTCAGGATGAAAATAAGATAACTTACTTTATACTTTCTCATGAACATGTTAAAAAGGTATAGATAATTATCAAGACCATAGAATCATAGCCAATAAAATTAAAGAGGAATAAATAAAGCCAGATCAGTTTAATAAAAGGCGTGCAAGGGGGAGTGTGTGTGGGGGGGAGAGAATCAGAGAAAAAGCATTATAAATAAAAAACAAAACATATAGAGCCCTAGCCGGTTTGACTCAGTGTATAGACCCTCGGCCTGCAGACCGAAGCACACAGGGTTCGATTCCAGTCAAGGGCATGTACCTCGGTTGCAGGCTCCTGCTCAGCCCGGGCCCTGGTCAGGGCGTGCGCAGGAGGCAACCAATTGATGTGTTTCTTTCACATTGATGTTTCTCTCTCTTTCCCTCTCTCTTCCACTCTCTCTAAAAAATCAATGGAAAAATATCCTCGGGTGAGGATTAAACACACACACACACACACACACACACACACACACACACACACACAAAACCACACAGAATTGTAGAAATAGGTCCAAATATGTTAGTAATTTTAACATATAAGTAGATTTAACTTGTCAGTTAAAATCAGATTAGATAATAAGAAAATATCTAGCTATATACTGTCTAACATAAACATAGTTAGAACATAAAGGCATACAAAGGTTGAAAGGAAATGAATGGAAAATAAATGATGGCCAGAAATAGCCCCAAAAATGCAAGTGTAGTAATATTAGTGCCAGACAAAATAGACCTTAATGTAAAAAGTATTGTTAGGAATAAAGTTTTTTTTAAAAAGATTTTTAATTGATTTTGAGAGAGAGAGAGAGAGACATTGATGTGAGAGGAAAGCATCAATCAGCTGCTTCCTGCATGTCCTCCACTGGGGTTGGATGCTGCAACCCAGACATGGACATGTTCCCTGACCGGAAATCAAACTGGCAACCTCTTGGTGCACAGGACAGCACCCAACCAGCTGAGCCACACCGGCCACAGCAGGGATAAAAATTTTAACAAATAATAAATAACTTACCAAGGAGATATAGCAATTCGGAGTCTGTATGTCACTTACATTACATCTTCAATAGATGTAAAACAAAATGCCATTGACAGAATTGCAATAAGTTAACAAATCTTTTATTACAGAGGGAGATTTTTTTTAACCACATTTCCTACAGAAACAGAAAAGGCTGACAAATATTAATAAGGATATGGAAAATATGAACAGCACAGTTAACAAGCGTGATTCCATGGATGTCGCCGGAACTCTTCACCTAAATGAGAGCACATATTCGCAAGTACACATGGAAAACTTACAAATTTCACTGAAAAGCCAGTCTCAATAAATCACAAAAGAATTGATGTCATACAGACCACATTTTTTAAATAAAAATAAAAAACAAGAAAAAAACAAAAAGCCCCACACCCTATAATAGAGTGGCTTTTAGTTTATGCCTTAAGCAATTAGGTGGATGGTAGTAGTGCCATTTCCTGAGATGGGAAAGGCTAAAGGAGAAAATGGATTTTAATCTGGGTGGATATGGGGTCAGAGGAAAGGGGAACCAATTTAGAGATGTTTGGCCGCCCAACACATAATAAGACAGATGTATCTCAACTGATTCACCAACCATAGATTTAATGGGCTTGCTGTGACCACACTTCTTTTCTTTTATTGCACTTTTTATTTTTATTTAATTTATTGGAATTACATTGGTTAATAAAGTTATATAGGTTTAAGGTGTACAAATCTATAATACATCATCTGTATGTTGTATTTTGTGTTTACTACCCTAAGTCATGTCTCTTTCCATCACCATCTATCACCCCTTTACTCTTTACTGCCTCCCCCACCTCCATTTCCCTCTCACACTTCTTTGCAAAGAACCCTCTTTCTGCTCTAACTGGTTTTGCTCAGTGGTTAGGGCATCAGCTAGTGTAGTAATATTACACTACTGAAGGGCTGCGGGTTCAATCCCAGTCAAGATTTGATTCTGTCTCATTTCTCTCCTATCAATATTTCTCTCTGTCTCTCCCTCCCCCTTCCACTCTCTCTAAAAAGATCAATGGAGAAAATATCCTTGGGTGAGGATTAACAACAAAAAAAGAATCCTCTTTCTATTTTGGGATTTTTGTAAATTTGTTTGAAAATCACCTGTTTAAATTAATATTGCCTATTAATTGGTTATGCTGCCACCTGGTGGTATAATTTAGGATAAAAGGATATGTATTTTGTTTATTACAGGAATTCCTGTACACTTTTTTTAAATTAAACAAGCAAGGATTATAAAACCATTGGTGTCATTGTTCAGAATATTGCCCTTCTTATCTCTACATTATGCATTCTTATTCATATGTCAAAATATCAGTATCGCCTTAATAGTGAACTGTTATTATTATACAAGATTAGATTCCCCCAAATGGAAAAAGCTTAATGCACAAAAATTATACAAATAACTAATATTTGTTGAATGCTTACTCTGCTAGGCACCAGTGTAAATTCTTTCAAAAACATCTAATTTAATATTCACAACAATCCTATGAATACTATTATGCCTGACCTGAGAAAATTGAGGCATAGAAAGATAAGTAATTTACTCAAAGCTTCACAGCTAGTAAACAACAGAAGTGAGATTTGCTTATAGGAAATACTAGAGACCCGATGCGTGAATTCGTGCACAAGTGGGGTTCCTCGGACTGGCTGGCAATCAGGGCCAATTGGGG